TCCGCCACCTAGGGCAGCAGAAAAGCTGGCAGCGCTCCTGGATCCTGATCCTTTAACTGAGGGACATGCCTTCCTTTTACTGCTACATTTCACAACCTAGGGATCTTATTGGATCTTGGTGGCTTCTGGGTATCTATAAATGGAATAGAAAGCTCATGTTAGCTTAGGGCAGGGTTGGACCAATGTATAAGAAGAACAGAAGGAAAGAAATATAACCTAGAGAGACCTGCAGCACGAGAAGCTCATTGTCTCAGTCTTTTACCTTATGAGTTTTTAGAAGGCAATTAACCAACAATGTGGTAAGATAATAAATAGTTGCTCTATTATATTTCTGAATTTAAAATGTGCTACTTAAACTACAGAAAACAACCACCATTCCTCTTCTCAGGAAATTAAATTTAACCCACTAGGATTGTAGAAACATGAAAGAATAATTAGGTTCTGAGATCAGTAGGAAAAATAATTAATTCAGGAATTAAATTATATAAATATTTGCCATCTTCTATAGCGTTCATCCCTGCAGTATCTAAGCACTATTATTATCTGATGAATAATATCACTTCCATTGCGGAAGACTGGCACGTCTCCCACTCTTCAGCTTTTGTCTTTTTCGCTTTGATTTTCTGACTTTGGAAAAAATATCATTGTCCAAGGCTAGCCCTTACCACCTGAACTCACTGAGGCAGTGAATTAGCGATTCGGGAAAACTCAGCTCCTCTGAGCATGGGCACAGTTTTCTGTGAGCCTTGAATGTCAGTTTATGTCAGACATTAATAGGAGGCTAGAATTTCAGATGGCAAGAAGGGCAATGTTCTCTTTCTATTCAGTGCTGTTTGCGCTACTGAACTTATCGGGGGGGAAATGAATCTGCTGAGTGGGGTTGAAATTCAGGAGTGCAAAAAGCAAAAGAACAGATCATGTCCTCTGCTCCTAAGTACTAACAGCAGGAACAAATATTGTTGGTTGGAGGGAAGATAAATCTAAGTGGGATCACACTCCTCCATTCCCTCTGGCTCTACAAAAGCCCCTATATATGCTCTTGTGAGTATCAGGAGCATGGATGAGTAGAAAATGGATGGGGATTTATGAGTGTTGGCATCAGCTCCCACAATCCTGCAATGAGCTGTGCACAAGCAGACCCCTGTGCCTGCATAGAGTCCCACTGACTTCACTGAAGTGGAGATCATTGCAAGAGGGGGCCTTGGTCCACATGTCCACATTCTCCTGCTCTATGCTCTCAAACCCCTCACTGGGAGCCCAGAGGGGAGATGGGGTGGGAGGGGACTGACCCAGGCACCGACTGAGGCACCGTTAAGAGTTCATTTGGGACTGCAGTGGGAGTTTTGTTTGTGTAAGGACTGGATGACTGAGCTCTTGCTGTTGTTAGCAGCTGCTGTTGTCATCGTCAAATCGTGTAGCCACAATTACCCAGTGTGATTGGATTCATTCCTCTCTGAGCCTATTAGCAGCTGTGCATTTCATTAGACAAGCAGAGGGGACACACTTGCTTCCCACTCCTATAGTTTTACCATACTGCAGTTACTATTCATAAAAGGTGCATTCAGGAAATGGTGTGCTAGATAATAGCTCATGCAAAACAGATGGCACAACAGCTCTGTCTTTCTCTGGGGTATAAAGAAAAACAGGGCTCTGAATTGTCTGGAACTGTTCTGAACAAAATTACTAACAAATGGTTCTGTGGTCTTAAAATCCGAACAGCGTGTTTATCTGCCTATATTTTATTTAAACCCTGACCTTGGAAGAAAATAGGAGAACAATAATCATGGATGTTGAGAAATCCAATCGCAGATGAAAACTGCTAGTTAAATAATCCATTAGTTTACAACAACACGTACAACAGCAGCAGAGTTTCTATTGCGCCTGGTAAGACATTTCAATTTGAAGTGGAAAGATTTGGAACTTCCTTTCAGCACAAAAAGAAAAGCTTCATTCTAATTGTTCAGGAGCCTTAAAACGTTCACAGTTTTGAGCTCTCCTCTAACAAGAAAAATCTCCATGCAGGCTGAAAAAATTAGCTCATTTGTTACTGAATCATTTATTACATTTTAAGCTGAAGTTTTTAGAAGGGTGACAAAAATAAAGACTACCAAACACCAGGGTTTTAGAGCTAAATGAAGTTTTTGTTTGATTTTTTTTGTGCTGCCTGTTTTTGTGACATAAATAACTATAAGGCTTGTGAAGTCCTGTAGTTTCTTTCTTTTTGAAGTAGGTTTTGCTTTGCCTCCAATTAAAATTTGCAACAAAAAACTTGTTTCATTGGAACAAAAGTAGGTCTTTTCATTTTGAGAGATTACTCAGAGATCAGTCTTTTGGGCTATAGGAGCCACTACATCTCTTTATAATAGAAACCAATAATTTTGGAGAGCCGTATAGAAAATATTATTTTGTAACTCCCTAGTTTTAAGGCAATGAAGGGATACAGCTAACAATTTAAAATTCAGGCCCACACTAGACAGTGCCTCATCTCTCATACCGTGCACTTACTGTATACCTGGATCAGGGCACTACAAGGTTCATCCAGCCCTAGCTCAGAACACAATTCCACTCACATGGGCAGCCCCTGTCTCAATCTCCATGGGCAAACAACATAATCACCAGCAATAGTTTTCTCATCAGATACTTTACATAAATTTATTTCATTGCCAGTGGTTGTGTTCACTGCTTCCCCTGCTTCTGAGCTAAATATGGAAAAGACAAACCATAGCTGTATGAAGCCATATGCCATGTATGCCACAGGATGTAATTTTAATGTTTGGCATCAACATTTCTTGAGATGGATCAATTTTTTTTCTTCACTGGATATTGCTGGCTCTTTTTATCTATGAAAGATCCAGTAAGCATAGGATCATAGAATCAAAGAACTGGAAGAGACCTCAAGAGGTCATCTAGTCCAGTCCCCTGCACTCATGGCAGGGCTAAATATTATCTAGATCATCCCTGACAAGTGTTTGTCTAACCTGCTCTTACAAATCTCCAGTGATGGAGATTCTACAACCTCCCTATGCAATTTATTCCAGTGCTTAACTACCCTGACAATGGCTGAGATACCCCTGGAGATCTAGGGAAAGGTCAGATGGAAAAAGGGTTGGTGGTGTGGATAGGTGTCCCCATCCAGTACGGTCAGGGATGGACTGGACCCCCTTCAGTAAGAAAGTAGGCATCCAGAGCCCATGAAAGAAGGGAAGTGAGCTGCCACAGAATATAGAAAAAGGGCTCGAAGTAGGGGAGTTGGAGAACCCTAGATGACAGGATACAAAACAGGGGGTGAAAGAGGGGAATGAACATTCCTGAGGAGAAAGTGGAGAAAAGGAAGAACTGGCCGAGCAGGCATCAGAGGAAAAGGAAACCTGAAAGTGAGGATGGGCTGTCCACAGAATGTTCACTACCAGGGCCTTGAGAGGAGGAACCCCAAGATACATTAGTCGGATTAGGAGAATAAGGGGCCATCGGGAAATGAGATGATGAAGGGCTAGGACTTGCCCTGCCCCAAAAGAATGAGGGCAAAGGGGAGGAAACTAGATCCCTGAATTGCTCCTGGTGTGAAGACCAGTGATCTGAAACAGAATTACGGGCACATCCCCCACCCACCAAGTGTGAGTTCAGTGGGTAGAGGCAGGATAACCACCCTGGGGGCAAGCACAGGAAAAAAGTAACTGGTGCCTCCTCTAAAGAAGAGCAGGTGCTAGGGAAATGGAACCTCAGCATTCAACAAGCAAGGGAGGGAGGTGTGTGTCAGAGTGCTGGGAGCTAACAGTGACCCAGCACTCTGATTTTTAGGCACCAATTAGTTCTCCCAGAGAAGGCTGATTGGGGATATACAGTTAATTAGCTGATCAGGCTCGGAGGGTTGATCAATCAGTTAGCCATCAGCCAAGAGGTATAAAAGAAGACGCAGGGAGTGAGGACCTTAGCTAGCTGAATCTAGTAAGTGCTAATATATTGAAAAAGGGAGACCGCAGTTCCTCCCTGGCCCTGTGGGAAAGAGCAAGAAGTACTGTAAATACTTTGCTGCATGAATGTATGGGTGCTAGTGATATAAATAAATTCACACAAAGTTGCCACTTACTGAAGAGTCTGAGAGGTTTCTGGGGCACCAGAGGATGGACCATGCCCTTACAGGATCAGTCTGGTCCAACTCTCTTTCTCCATATAGGAAAACATATGAAAAGTTCATCTCTTGAAGATCTCCTAACCAGCATCTGAAAAAAAAAATGTGTAGAGGCCTCACTGGATTATGTGGTATGCATTGTGGGAAATGAATGAGGGTTTACTGCAGTCAGTAATTACACTCCTCACTCATCTAAAATGCCAGGTTTGTAATTGCTACCGCTACTCTTCCTGGGAACATAATAATAGTAAAAGGCTCACTGTGTCAAATACTTGTTCCTAATTATTGCACTTGGGTTCTGTCAAGTGCAAATTAAATATAGGAAACAGTAAGGGAAGAAAATATGTCAAATGGCAGGTGTGTTGATCATGACCAGGATAGATGATAAGGGGGCATTTTATTACTCAATCTTCCTTAAGTTCTCCTTAGCTTCTGCTTCAAAATGGTAATGGTAAATGCTGCCCAGTCTAAGTTATGCTTCTTCCTCCAGTATTTCACCTGTCAAAATCGGGATTCGTCTTAACAGCAATGGTGAAAGCCTGGCCCCATGTAAGTCAATGGCAAAGTTTCCTTTAACTTCAGCGTAGTCAGAATTTCACCCCATATGTATAAAAAGGGGAGTAGGGACATATGGTAGATGAACGAAACCCAGATGCTTTTCAAATGTAGAATATGCTTTTCAAATGTAGAATACTGGAGTTAATGGCAAATGGCACAGTCATCCTTCTGGAAAACCAAGACACCTATTTGTACAACTGCTGCATTAACTATGCAGAGATCTGGACAAGTTCTATGGGGATGAACTTTGCCTTCTCATTTCTATCCTGCTGAAGCTGACGTCTCGGCTTGTAATTATTAATTAACTATCCTGGTAGTGGCAGTGCAGCTGTGCATCTCAGCTGTAATTCACAGCGAGAGACACGGCCTCAGGGACCTGGGAGCTATTGGAAATGTCGACCAGGTATCACAAAGCAGCCGCGGATGGCAACCTGGATCTGTTGAAAGAAGCCACCAGAAAAGATCTCAATACTTCAGATGAAGACGGGATGACACCCACCCTCTTGGCAGCTTACCATGGGTACCTGGAGGCAGTGGAAGTCATATGTAGGAGAGGGTAAGCATAGCAGTGCTTAGTCTCCCAAAGCCTGCCAGACAAAATTATAGCTAGTAGTTGCCTTCCATTAATGCAAATTGTGGAGCAAACAGATCATTCCTTCTTCTCTAATTGACTTGGATGTGATGCTGGGGTTATGGTGGTGGTGGGAATGGGACTTAACATTTAAACCAATATTTGTAGTTTGTTTTATACCTGGTTTCAGTAGCTTCTTCATTTCAGTTACGCTGCCTTAGGCCCTGATCCTGTAAACTGCTCTGGGTGACTAGACTCCTGTATTCTTGTTGAGCCCCATTGAAGTCAATGGGGCTACAGGGGGCTGCCTTCATGAAGCAGCTTCCACAATAAACACTTCAAGACAACAGGAGATTGGCCATTGACTTCAGTGGTGGATGTCACGCCCTTTGTTTTAATATTCCTTAGAAACTGGCTCAGCAGAGAAATGCCTCCTTGATAAGTCAACAGCAGCAAACACTACATTTTATCAAAATGTTAATGCCACTTGTATCCAAAGAACAGATAGTTTGTAAATGTAAATACCTAACAACCTCACGGTGATTTTCAGAAGGAAACCAGAATTGTGTGTTAGAGAGGACTGAACACAAAATTATGATTTCTCTGCTGTTCATGGTATTAGAAACAATCGTAATGCCTGAATAGCATTCAGAGCTGTTGTTGGAGTTTTAGTTAGGCTTCTTGCAGACTGAAAAGGAATTAAATATAGAGTATACCTCCAGGAGCTCTCTCTACTTTGGTACTTGGTAGCAGTCATATTTCTAATTCTAATTACTAAATGTACAAATAGTGAAAAATAACATAAAAAGTCACTCCCTCCTCTAGATTATCCACTGTATTCTGTCTCCTCTGACTTTGTCTTTTAGGCTTTGATCCTGCAATAAGATTCACCAGAGGATACTTTTTTTTTTCCTGTGCTGGGTCCCATTGAAACAAATGTTCTTTCTAGTATGAGAGGGAAATTAAATCAATTGGTTCTTTCATATGGGGTACAATAAACCAGAGGGAAGATCAGAAAACCAATGAAAAATTAATGGTTGTTTAGACGTGTTTTGTCTTTTTCTTAAAGACAGAATGTAAACTATAGAATGCAAATGGGTTCTGTGCGTGGTAAAGCGTAACAGCTAGAGGTTCCTCTTTGCTCATTGATCTTAGGTGTGGCAGTAGTAATACTTTATTACCCATAAAGGAGGCCTATAAACGGTGTGGTTACTGCTATAACCTTAGGAGAAGCAAAAATAGATCCTGAGCTGCTGTATATTGACAAACCTCTATTGAAGTTACTGAAGTCAGCAGAGCTACATCAGTTTACAGCAGCTGAATTTTTGACCCATAATGTTTAGAAGATAGAAGAGAAGGAGCAACTAACAGAGAAAAAGAAGATAAGATTATATTTTCCTAGGTTCCAATGTCCCATGTATGATGTGTAAATTAGGGCATGTGTCACGGAGCATCCAAACTTCCACAAGACTGTTTTCTCTCTTCATTTTTAATCTGATAGCTTTTTAATTCAAATCAGCTTGAGACAGGACATCTTCGGGATGCTGTTGCCGTTGAGAGCCTCAAACAGTAGTTACAGCTTTCAGGAACTCATCATCCATTTTAACCTGAGATTCCCTGACTTTGTAGGTAGTCCAGGGTGACTCACAGAGACACTGTTAAAGTCTGAAAAACGTCCGTTTGGGTCTCTGGGAGATGCTGAATTTTGGAAGGTTTTCAAATGAGGCTCCAGTCAGATGACATTTTCTTGGTAGCTATTATTTTTAATAAAATCCTCTTATCCTCGAAGCAGAGCAGCTTTCTACAGTTTCCTGACAGAGACACTCACATACAGTGGAAGTTTTTCCTCAGAATGGTTGCAGATTTTCAGGCTCTGAAACTTGGAAGGTATTCATACTAATGTAAAACAAAACTGCAGTAATAATGAGCCATTGTTATCTACATTGCACTTTGCCCTCACAGTCATGAAGGGGCAGATTGTGCCTGGCTTCTGTATACTGCACAAGTGGAGGAGAAAGCGAGAAAGCTTTCCCCCTATTTGCAACCCCAGTGACTGGGAGAATCAGTTCCTTTGAGTTATCAGGCCCGCTGCTTCCTAGTGCCTAGGAGTGCAAGAGAGCACGAAGAAGGCAAACCCATAAACACATGCCTAATTTTATCCATTGTCCCGTTGAGCTGAGTTAGAATCAGCACCTACTTTGCAAAGTGCTTTGAGATGCTAGGATGGAAGGCATCAGAAGGGAAAATAATTACAAATGATTGACGGCTAAAATTATGGACATAGGCAACCACCTTTTTAATACACATCACAATGAGAGAAAGGATGGCCTAGTAAGGATGCTAGTCTTATTGGGTTTAATTCCCTACTTCACCTCATGCTTCCTTTGGGACAATGGGCAAGTCATTTAGTCTCCCTGTGCTCCAGTTCCCCCCGCTGTAAAATGGGGGTGGTAGCACTGTCCTACATCACAGGGTTGTGAGGATACACTAGAAGTTGTGAGGTGCTCAGATACCATGGTAATGGGGGCTGAATAAATAACGTAGAATTAATGGTGACTCATTTAAAGCGTCTCTTCCAGTGACATTTGATGCCAGAAATTGATGCCTGCTGGAGATTTTGTGATGATACAATCTCTTTCATTCACATTAGGTGAACTAGGCTCTGAACTTTAAAATCTGTGAAAAAGTGTGACCACACCGGTAAAAGGATGCACAAAATTGAGTTCTCTTTTGAGCCACTGATAATATCATTTAAATCTGCCCAATATGAGAGAAAAGATTCCCATTTATTCTAATCCATAGACATCAGGTTTGTGTGAAATTAATGCAAGAGGGAGAGAGAAACTATACTTCTCATTGGCTTTAAATTAAAAGGAATGGATATGACAATTTTATTTTCAAATGAGTTTCTGCTTTTAAAAACCCAGGGGCAAAAACAGTTTAAGAAGAACAAAGGAGTTGAAGAAAAATGATAGCTTCTCTCTGAACTATATTTAATTGCAGTGAAGACAAATGTGTAGCATCAGGGCTTTGCTCCTAATAATTTACCTATTAACTATCATAAAAGTTGCTTCCATGGACCCTGTAAGTATTTATTGCGGCAGTCGAATACTGTAGTCTCCACCCATTGTGCCTGCATTTTACATTCAAAAGGAAAGGCTCATCAATCATTCTTAAAAACATTTTGAGTGAAATCCTGGTCTCATTGAATTCAATGAGAATTTTGCCATTGACTTCAATGGGGCTAGGATTTCACTGAATCTAGGGTCTGATTCTCCTCCCATTGAAGTCAATGGTAAAACTCTCCGAGGTGCCCATCTGAGACACCATTCCTGAACAGCTTCTCCTTGGCTGGGGATGGGGATGGTAATTTGTTGTTGGCCTACATGAGGCATGAAACCCCCTCAGTCATACTAGCTGGCTTGTTGGCAGGTGCAGCATGCCCTCACCCACTCCCCACCCCTCTGCTCAAGGGGGTTAGTGAACAAGCATGGAGTATCTGCCGTCAAGATCTGGGAACCCCATGCCAGGGTACAAAGGACGGTTCTTATGCCTATGTGGGCCTGTAGTCAACATCACATTCTAGCCCTAAGAGTTTGCTCAGTACCACAGAGGGAGTTGGTGTCAGGGCTGGGATTAGAGCTCAGGCCACACATTCAGCCACGTTCAGCCCTGGACTAAGCGGGTGCAACACCATTAAAGACAGTGGAGTTGCACCCACTTGTCTTCAGTAGAGCTGCATCCACTTACAGCAGGGCTGAATTTGGCCCTGGATCACATTCATTCCCATTGCGTTGAGTGCTATGTTTGAGCTGTGTTTTGACATGCCCACCTTACTCCTATTTTGCTTTTCAGCGGTGACCCTGACAAGTGCGACATCTGGGGGAACACACCTCTCCATCATGCGGCTTCTAACGGTCACATTCACTGTGTCTCATTCTTGATTAACTTCGGTGCCAATATATTTGCCCTGGATAATGATCTGCGCACTCCTCTGGATGCAGCTGCCAGCAGGGACCAGCATGAATGTGTCAGAATCCTAGACAAAGCTGCTACTGAACAGAATGTAATGAATCCCAAAAGAGTCGCCAAACTCAAAGCCCAGGCCCCAAGGAACGCAGAGAAACAAATCAAAGAATGTGAAAAGCGCCAAGAGAAACACCAACACGAAATGACCAGGAATTTTAACAAAGAAAAGTTTGGATCAATGAGTTCTACCAGTGGGACAGCCTCCAGGACAAAGGTGTCCAATTTCTTTACTCCAAATACATTGGGCTCTTTCCCCAAAAATCTGAAGGACACCTTCAGGATGAAGGCAAAAAAGAAAGATGAAAACACAGGTGACCAGGAAGCACAAAGGAATGGCCAAGAAGATGATAGGGCTGGAAGATCTACCGTGATGGATGTATTCGGTGAAAAAGATGAGGATGAATTATTATGTAATGACTTTAAAGGGAAAAATATTTCCGAAGATGATAGCGAGCAGGAGCATGTGTCCATTTTCAAACGGCCAGGTCTCGGCAATATTGTGTTTAGACGTAATTTGTCTGCAGGGATAAATGCTGAAGAGATGTTCTCAGAAAAAGAAGAAATAAGTTTTAAAATGCCAACTGAGCTTTTTCGGCATGAAAGGGCTGAGAGCAAGAGTGAGCTAGATACTGAAAATGATTTCGATGTCCCTTGGAATGAGGATGAAATTGGATGGGATGACGATGAAGCTGAGAGCACCCCTCTTGAGGTATTTCTGGCATCACAGAATCTGAATGAGTTTATTCCTGTCTTCATGAGAGAAAAGATTGATTTAGATGCCCTCATGCTATGTTCTGATGAAGATCTACTGAGCATACAAATGCAGCTGGGCCCAAGGAAGAAAGTCCTCAGTGCAGCAGATAGAAGAAAGCAGGCACTGGAGAAACCTGGAAAGCTTGTAGATACTCGCTTATAAATAAATGTGCCTGTTGCAATAACTATGTATTAATTCATCATCCTTTTGCTATTTTAAAGCCATGTATGGTTCTTTTCAGCCATCTTCCATGGGAAAAGACAAAGAGGTTTCCAGATGATTAAGAGTGCACAATGGGACCAATAAAGAACATCAGTTTGAATGGATGACCTTTAGATCCTGACAAAAAGAAAGAGTATGCAGATAGGTAACAAAGAAAGGGGCAGAAGATGTTGAAAAGGCCAAGACTATAACAGGGTTCAAAAAAGAACTAGATAAGTTCATGGAGGATAGGTCCATCAATGGCTATTAGCCAGGATGAGCAGGTATGGTGTGTCCCTTGCCTCTCATAGAATGTCAGGGTTGGAAGGGACCTCAAAGCAGGACCAATCCCCAGACAGATTTTTGCCACAGATCCCTAAATGGCCCCCTCAAAAATTGAGCTCACAACCCTGGGTTTAGCAGGCCAATACTCAAACCACTGAGCTATGCCTCCCCCCTGTTTACCAGAAAGTGGGAATGGGTGACAGGGGATGGATCACTTGATGATTACCTGTTCTGTTCATTCCCTCTGGGCACCTGGCATTGGCCACTGTCAGAAGACCGGATACTGGGCTAGATGGACCTTTGATCTGACCCAGTATGGCCATTCTTATGTTATTACATTCTTATATAAAAGAAATAGTTCCAGAGATGAATCCTTCCCACCTAAAGATCATGCTAGGCATATCTTCTTTTTACAGTCTTAATGATTTAAAATATTACTGATAGCCAGTTACATAAAAGTCTTCCCGGCACTCTATAAGCAATGCACCACAAGGCATTTCCAACCACCAGAGATCTTTGATTTTCTGTACCACAAAATAAGATAATTTTCAGAATCTGAATAGATTGCTGCAAAGTGTCTTCACTGACACTATTTGAGAACTGAGTGATTGATCTTGACATTGACTCTATAATAGGTTATGAATGAATGAATGAATGAATGAATGAACGAACGCTTTGTGCCAATAAGTTTCATATTCTTGTCATTCATGTTTTCTCACTCTTCAAGAGATATTCCTTAGTTTTTTTAAAAAGTGAAACTCCTGACAGAGCCACATTTAGTTTGAGTTGTATGTTCCTCTTTCTCGTCACATTAGTTGCAAAAGTTATTGTTCGATAATGGATACAAGGGCCTCCTACAAGAAGATGTAGAGTGGTTTTTTATTGGGGCAGGGGGGTTGGCTAGCATTTGTATCAGTTTCATTTGACATGCCCTTTGCTTGGTCTCTAAAGAAATGCATTTTCCCTGCAGAGTTCTGGAAATTAGGACCCTAGCATTTCTAATGGAATTTGTAATACTTTTGCCCTGTATTTTCTACTGGTCACTCATGGTCTCAACTTGGAAGCTGTATGGGACAGGGTGTATATACCCATGGGGAAGAAGGAAAAATAACTCTCTGTCCTAGACGGAGGCATGCACAGCTGGCCTCCCCTCATTAGGGAAGCATGCCTTCAAAACGAAGTGATGGCACTATGCAGGAGGGCCTTGATTCCAAGGAGGACCAGCCTCTTCCTGGTTACTGTATTGAGAAGACCTCTGCCTACAAGATGTGATTGCTCAGAGGGTTAGATCCTCCGTAGGACTGCTGGGGCAGTGTCCCCTAGAGAGCCAGGGCTGTGTGATGGGAGTTAATCCCTCCTCTTAACCCATGTTGCACTTGTTGGGCCTAGCACCTGAAGTCAACTGGATCCTAAGCTGGGGGGAGAGGTAGATAGGCTGGAGGGTAGAGGTAGGGTCCAGAGTGACCTAGACAAATTGGAGGATTGGACCAAAAGAAATCCGATGAGGTTCAACAAGGAAAAGTGCAGAGTCCTGCATTTAGGATGGAAGAATCCCATGCACCGCTACAGGCTGGAGACCGACTGGCTAAGCAGCAGTTCTGCAGAAAAGGACCTGGAGATTACAGTGGATGAGAAGTTGGGTATGAGTCAGCAGTGTGCCCTTGTTGCCAATAAGGCTAATGACATATTGGGCTGCATTAGTAGGAGCATTGCCAGCAGATTGAGGGAAGTGATTATTCCCCTCTATTTGGCACTGGTGAGGCCACATCTGGAGTATTTCGTCCAGTTTGGGGCCCCCACTACTGAAAGGATGTTGACAAATTGGAGAGAGTCCAGCGGAGGGCAACGAAAATGATCAGGGGCTGGGGCACATGACTTACGAGGAGAGGCTGAGGGAACTGGGCTTGTTTAGTCTGCAGAAGAGTGAGGGGGGGATTTGATAGCAGCCTTCAACTACCTGAAGGGGGGTTCCAAAGAGGATGAAGCTCGGCTGTTCTCAGTGGTGACAGATGACAGAACAAGGAGCAATGGTCTCAAGTTGCAGTTGGGGAGGTTGGATATTAGGAAACACTATTATACTAGGAGGGTGGTGAAGCACTGGAATGGGTTACCTAGGGAGGTGGTGGAATCTCCATCTTTAGAGGTTTTTAAGGCCCGGCTTGACAAAGCCCTGGCTGGGATGATTTAGTGGTGTTGGTCCTGCTTTGAGCAGGGGGTTGGACTAGATGACCTCCTGAGGCTTCTTCCAACCCTAATCTTCTATGATTCTATGACCCAATTACTTTGCTGGAGCTGCCACAGTCTGGTAGATTTTCAAAGACAAATAAAGTACTTAGAGGCTGCATTACTCATTAATGGGAGCTGGGCCTCTAAATCCCCTAGGTGGCTTTTGAAAATCTCCACCTGTACATACAGGATTTGTGCTGTTGCTCAGCTGTGATCATAGAAAGTACATTAAGAACAGCCATACTGGCTCAGACCAATGGTTCATCTAGTCCAGTATCCTGCTTTCTGACAGTGGCCAATGCCAGATGCTTCATAGGGAATGAACAGAACCGGGCAATGATCAGGTGATCCATCCAGTCCCAGTTTCTGGTAGTCAAGAGAATTAGGGACATCCAGAGCATGGAGTTGCATCCCTGGTAATCTTGGCTAATAGCCACTCATGGACCTATCCATGAACTTGTCTAATTCTTTTTTGAATCCAGTTTTACATTGCCTTTGTGGACACTGGCACCAGTTTTTAAATCTATTTAACACTTTTCATGATCCACTCGTTTTGCTCCTTCCTCCTGTTCCTTAGTTTGTTGAAACAACATATCTTCTTGCCTCAACCAGACTTTACACTGTTCATTTTCCTCCACCGAAGACAATGTATTATGCGTCAACACTTCTTTCTATTAGGCAGTTATTCTGGAGTCCCATGCGGTGAAACTTACAATAGCTGCAGGGCTCAGAACACTAATTAAACCAGACAGCATTTTTTTTCCACATAAAAAACCCCAGTAGATAATTAAATGTTTAAGAAAGAAAGAAAGAAAAAGGATCTTGAAAATATTTATGTGCGTGAAGGCGTCCTAGCTGAGCCCTTTGACAAGAGGCTCACGAAGGGCCAAATCCTGTCATCCTTGGTCAGGCAAGTTGATTTAAAAACTCTGTGGGTTTTGCCTGAGTACAGACTGTTGGACTGGGCCCATGATTACCCTCCTGTTCCTTATTTACCTGCTAAATGCCACCTGCATTGACTTTTCCACATGACTGGAATCCAATTACAATTTGCAATCTCCCCTCACCCCTGGCTCACCCTACACATTACCAGTGTTTATTTAGGACTCTCTCACTACATCATCAACCCATCTGTGAATAAAGCCACTAAAGATGGAACTGCTACATGGAAACCTTTACCACAGAACAGTCATAGGTAATTCTATGCTGATTTGTTGCCTGTTTTGACTGGAGTCTTAGTAGAAATAAATAACCAATCTCTGTACTGTGTTGTACAGTTAAAATATAGCCAACAAGAAATTGGACCAGAGTACATACAATGTAATAGGTATAAAATGGCTCTTTGTGCCAAAGTTTCAAAGGTATGCAGACTCACCTAAAGATGCAGATAGTCACTTAATGGAATTTTCAGAATTATTTATCTGCATCTTTAGGCACATAAATACCTTTTAAAATCTGACCCTTTGTATTTCCACTTGTAAATCTACTTTATTGATACCAACTTTGAGATTCAGCGACACCTCCTAATGGTGCAGACAGCAAAATCCTATGTGGAGGCTAACTGCCTGGATGCACATGATAAAGTTCCTTCATTTTAAATGATAAACAAAACAAACAAATATTTCTTGAAGCAATTCCCTTGAAGAACAACATCTTTAATAAGTGGCTCCTACTGTAGAACAGCCCTCTGGCCACCTGTTAATATGCTACAATTGGGAGGGATGCATTTTAGTTCTTCATTTATGAAATCTGCAGTGTCATTTCCTGAAGCTCTTTCATAAGCAGCTCTCCTTGTTTAAACAAACCCTCTGCCCATTCACAAGTCTATATAGTTGGCCCAAAATTCGACCCATTAGTAATAATGGCCTACATTTATACGGTGCCTTTCATCCAGAAGGATTTTATATACTATGGGTAAAAGCATCCAGTCAAATCTATGCCTGCATAATTATTTGTTGAGCCCCACTGGTGTGCTCAGCCCTGTATAGCATACAGAAGCAGTGGCCACTTCCCCATGGAGCTTACAGTCTAAACTGGACAGGCAGCACCGTGAATACAAAATGTGCTGCATTACCAGAGACTGGAAAGTCCAGTCTCAAGAGTGAGGCAGAGTTGGCTTGTTTTCTTTTCCCTCAGCCAGGGCCAGCTCCAGGCACCAGCTTCTCAAGCAGGTGCTTGGGGCGGCCGCTCCGGAGAGGGGCGGCACGTCCAGGTATTCGGCGGCAATTCAGCGGACGGTCCCTCACTCCGCCTGGGAGTGAAAGACCTTCCGCCGAATTGCCGCCGCAGATCGCGGCTTTTTGGTTTTTGTTTGTTTTGGCTGCTTGGGGCGGCCAAAACCCTGGAGCCGGCCCTGCCCTCAGCAAGTAATTTACTACAAGGGACAGCCATGTTGATACTTGCAGTGCTAAAAATCACAGGAAGAGGCAGCACAAATTAGATAGAAAAAGTTGTTTTAATTGTCTATAAAAA